TGGCCTGCTGTGTTCATCCAGCTCTAAACCTTGTTATCTCAGATTCTCCAGCATCTGCAGTTCCTACTATCTCTGCTGGGACAGACCCTGCTTTGGAATGATAGCTGCTCTGTATGAGCACTGGAGGGTAAACAATGCAATGAAAGCAAGTGACCTGGCTCCAAGTCCATGTGGAGATGTTGATGTCTGGTGAGAGGATGAGGAGGTGGTGAAACAATGCTGATACACATCACACTGGAAGAGGTTTGTCTCCTGTGTGGGCTAGTTAATGTAATTCAGTTATTCTGACAACTGCGAAGGCTTTATTACAGACTTCTCATAAATAGGCTTTCTGTCCTGTGAGTGCACATTGATAATAACATAGGAGCATGAGTAGGCCATTCAGCCTGTTGACCCTTCTCTGCCAATCATAGCTTATCATCCACTTTAACGCTCAACTCCACACTATCCCCATATCCCTTTACACCTTTGGAATTTAGAAATCTATTAATCTCTACTCTAAACATAATGACTGCACTTCCACAACCCCCTGGAGTAGAAATTCCAAACATTCACAGCCCTCTGAGTAAAACAATCATTCCTTATCTTGATCCAAAGTGACTTTCCCATTATTTTGAGTTGTGCCCCCTCCCCCAACTGGGGGAAACCTCTTAGTTGTTGCCACCCTGTCTATTTCTTTAGGTATTCTGTAGGTTTCAATTGGAAGATAGAGAATACAGATCCAGTTTCTCAATCCCTCTTTACAGGATAGTTCTGCCAAATGAGGATCAAATCTGATGACCCTTCAATGCACTCCTCTATGGAAATAGTATCTTCCTAATTTAGGGGGATAAGACTTGCACATAGTGCTAGAGTTGTGGTCTAACCATTGTGTTGTACAATTGAAACAAGACTTCATGACTCCTGAACTCAAAAATTCTTGTGATAAAGGCTAAAACACAATTAGCCTTACCAGTGTGGACTTTGCATAGTGATAACGCAATGAATAATCAAAGGACCTGGCAAATAAACTTGGGATAAAGATTCAAAACCCATCATTGTAGCTAGTAGAATCTGAATTCCAAAGGGAATCTTGTGACAGAATGACAGCGTCATACCTCTGGCCAGAGGGTCTGAGTTCAAGTTCCACCTGCACCAGATATGTGTCACAAGTCTGAAAAGGTTGATTGATAATTTATCATTAGCTTTCGTAATTGCTTGCTGCACTTGCATGTTAGCTTGCAAAGACATATTGATGAGGTCTCTCAGGTCCCTTTGTACAACTCCCCTTTTTAACCTGTTACCTTTTAATAAATACTCTGCACATCTGTCCTCCTACCAATGTGGATAACTTCACTATTATTCCACATTGTATTCCATCTGCCATGCTCTCACCCACTCACTAAGTCTGTCCGAATCCTCTTGCAGCTGCTTTGAATCTTCCTCATGGCACACATTCTCACCTACCATTGTGTCATCCATAAAATTAGAAACATTATATTTGGTCGCCATTTCCAAATCATTGATGCATTGTTACACCTTGTGCGGCAACAAGTAAAAGTAAAAGTTATGTAGTTGTCACAAAAGTTAAAGATTTTAAAATGTATGCAGAATTCCTGAATTTATCAGTTTTTGAGTCCAGGTTGACGGAAAGCACAGATCAGGTTTTCATACGGAACAAAAATTACTACCTATTACAAGTAAATAGAATCTAGCTACAAGTAACCAATTATACACCATCATCATATAACTCAACTAATTAAAACTCTAATGTCCTTATAACTTCCCCCTCTACACATACATACAGAGAAACATATATAGGTGCTACAGGCAGATGGAAAGACTGGGAAAGCAGTTCAATGGTCCCTGTTCACAGGGCTGCTGAGATAATTATATGGCTGATCAGAATGGTGCTTTTTTGTCTTCTTTCTCAGGGGGCTTTCACGGGCTTGTAGTAGGTACAGGGTGACAGGATCATATTTATAAAGTCTCCAGTTTACCATCCAAAAAACACAGCTTACATTAAATGCTGAGGGAAGAAAAGTGGCTATCTTCAGGCTTGAGATGCATTTTACTGCAGAGTAAAAATTGCTCCTTGCTCCTCTAGGGGCCTGATGGTTTCTGCTAAAACACCACACCTTCAAGCAGTTCAGCTCCTGGTAGCCAATCATGTAGAGGTTGGCAAGAAGGGGTTTTCATCCACAATTACTAGTGACTAGACCAGAGACTGATCAAGTACTTTTCGCTGGCTGAAACTCCATTCATACACACACACAGCCCTATCACCAGCCTGTCAGTAACATCACCCACTACTGCTTAAACCAGTAGCTCTGTACACAGCACTTACAATGAGTGTCATGTTACTTGCTTTTAAAAGTGCTCTGGTCCTTCAATAATCCTGGTTTTAAAAACAGTTATTTTCTCATTTCAATCCATGATTAAAAATACAGAAAATAAAAATACATAGTTTTTACAAAGTAGTGTGAACAACAGTGGGCCAAGTACTGTTCTTGTGGTACCTCACTAATCATAGCCTGCCAACATGAGAATGACATCTTTATTCCTATTTTTTGATTTCTTCCTGTAAACTAATTCTTAATGCATGTCAGTACATTACCTCCTATGTGTTTTAATTTTGCTAACTAACCTCCTGTGTCGGCATTATCAAAAGCCTTCTGATAATCCAAGTATATCATGTCCATTGACTCCCTTTTATCAATTCTGTTAATAAAATCCTCAAAAAAATCTCCAAGAGTTTTGTCAAAAATCATTTCCCATTCACAAATCCAAGCTGACAATGCCCAATTAGATCATTCTTATCCAAGTTATCAGATGCTTTATAGTAGATTCTAGATTGTTCGCATTACTATTGTGGGAGGCCGACAGGTCATAGTTTCCAGTTTTCTCTCTTGCCTCCTTCTTAAGTTGTGATGCATTATTTGCTACCTTCCGACCTGCAGAACCATTCTAGAAATTTGGAAGACGATCACCAATGCACCCACTATCGCAATGGTGTTACGATTCTAGCTGATGTTACGACAAGTCAGATCTCAGAAAATTTCAGTTAATGTGGTGGTCAGTCACTAAAACACAGTCACATGAGACTGCAGAGTTTATTGAACAAAACAAAAGATTATTACACATAAGATCAGAACAAAACTAAACAAACCAAGCTATATGTAGAAGATAACTTAGAAAAAAAATTAAATGCAAAGCAAAACAAAATTTACAAAAGGTAGAAGACAAAGTTTGGTGTTGGAAGGTTGCTTTTCAGACTGGAGGCCTGTTATCAGCAATGTGCTGGGTACACTGCTTTTTGTCATTTATATAAATGATTTGGAACATAGGAGGTATGGTTAATTAGTTTGCAGATGACACCAAAATTGGTGGTGTAATGGACAGTGAAGGAGGTTACCTCAGAGTACAACGGGACCTTGATCAGATGGACCAATGGGGTTACAAGTGGCAGAAGGAGTTTAATTTAGATAAATGTGAGGTGCTGCATTTTGGAAAGGCAAATCAGGGCAGGACACTTAATGGTAAGGTCCTGGGGAGTGTTACTGAACAAAGAGATCTCGGAGTGCAGGTTCATAGTTCCCTTGAATGTGGAATCCCAGGTAGACAGGATAGTGAAGAAGGCATTTGATATGTTTGCCTTTATTGGTTAGTGCCCTGAGAATAGGAGTTGGGAAGTCATGTTGTGGCTGTACAAAATTTGTAGGCCACTTTTGGAATACTGCATTCAGGTCTGGTATCCTTGCTATAGGAAGGATATTGTGACACTTGAAAGAGTTCAGAAAAAGGGTGGCACGGTGGCTCAGTGGTTAGCACTGCAGCCTCACAGTGCCAGGGACCCGGGTTCAATTCCACCCTTGGGCAACTATCTGTGTGGAGTTTGCACATTATCCCCATGTCTGCGTGGGTTTTCTCCAGGTGCTCTGGTTTCCTTCCACAATCCAAAGATGTGCAGGCTAGGTGGATTGGCCATGCTAAACTGCCTGTAGTGTTCAGGGATGTGTAGATTAGGGGGATGGGTCTGGGTGGGATGCTCCAGTGGTCAGTGTGGACTTGTTGGGCCAAAGGGCCTGTTTCCACACTGTAGAGACTCTATGATTCTATGAACAGATTTACAAAGATGTTGCTAGGGTTGGAGGGTTTGAGCTCCAGGGATAGGCTGGGGCTATTTTCCCAGGAGTGTCAGAGGCTAAGGGGTGACCTTACAGAGGTTTATAAGATCACGAGGGGCACGGATAGGGTGAATAACCCCGGTCTTTTCTCCAGGATGGGGGAGTCCAAAACTAGAGGTCATAGGTTTAAAGTGAGAGGGCAAAGTTTTAAAAGGGACCTACGGGGCAACTTTTTCACACAGAGGATAGTGCGTGTATGGAATGAGCTGCCAGAGGAAGGAGAACATTTAAAACACATCTCAACGGGTTCATGAATAGGAAGCGTTTAGAGGGATATGGGCCAAATGCTGGAAAGTGGGAGTAGATTAATTTAGGATATCTGGTCGGCATGGACGAGTTGGACCGAAGGGTCTGTTTCCATGCTGTACAGCTCTACAACCTAATTTCCAACACCATCAATTCAAGTCCAGGGCAATCACACTTCTATATATAACCTTTCAGGTCTACTTAAGTAATTCTCCCCGGCTTCCTTCCTGTGGACTGTTGAATCTTCTTATATGAATACTCAGAGAACTGAGAGCTTGAACTTTCACAGTTTCTAATAACTTGCAGATTTATAACCAAATTCTCTGGCTTGGAAGGTGCACAAACAACACTGTTGTGCTGAGGTGACTGTATTTTTCCTGAATTGTACTAAACTCCTTTAAATGAGAGAAAGTACAATTGCTTCTGACCATGCCACCGGCACCCCCTCCCCCCCCCCCCCCCCCCAAAAAAAAACAGTCACGTCTCCTCCGACTGTCACAAAGTAAAACTTTCAATCGCTGGTATTGTAAACTAAAATCAATCCATGACTTCACTGATGAAGGAGCAGCACTCCGAAAGTTTGTGATTTTAAATAAACCTGTTGGACTATAGCATGGTGTCATGTGACTTCTGACTTTGTCCACCCCAGTCCAACACCGGCACCTCCACATCTCAATTTTTCTGAACTGACAATAAGTTAATCTTAAATGTTCACCTATCTGCCATAAACAAATGACCTTCAGTGTTTACCAACTTACCATAAACCACCACAGTATTAACAATTTTCCATTAAAACACTATAGCCATATGGGTTCTGAGCAAGGACACTAAACTTAATTTTATTTAAAAGAAAACCTTGGTAGAAATGACCCACATTCATCTCTGCCTCTTTGTAAAATTTAGCATTCAAACATGATATTAATATGTACACAAAGTGTTTCAACTCAACAAAATAGCTGGTATCCATTTGATGGTTCATTTCTCATGGGACTAACCTGACCAATCAGAATCAATTTGTTTTGATATTAAAGTAAAACCTGGCAGTTAATTGTCAACCAGCATTAATCAGTGCACTCTCCAGGGAACATCTCCGCCCAGCTGAATGCACTTGCCAAACAATAAGCACTCTCCTCTCATGCAGTATCAATTTTTGTTTTCCCCTTGACCCGACATTCTTCAGAATTGTCCTGATAAGTGCAAGAAGAAAAGCTTCCATACAGTATCTTTTTCAGCAATGTTAATATTTGCATAAGTTTGACATCTTTCTTCTTAAAAGCTACATTTCTAAATATTCTGCGATGTAGACTAATAGGTCCTGGTAACTTATCAAATGTCATTAATTTTTCCAACAAAAACTTCTTGCAAATTGTAATTTCATTCAATTCCACATTTTTCCTTGACTCTTCCATCTCTAATGCTGGGAGATTTTTAATATCTTCCTCAATGAAGACAGGCATAAAGTAATCATGTAATCAACCAGGAGACACACTGATGTGTGAATGCCTTTCACACATTTCACTCATGACGGATTTTTCATCAGTGTGGATTCTCTGATGCTTCAGGAGATGGGAGCTTGGATTTAAGTTTTTCACAAACATTGCATTTGAAGGGTTTCTCCTCCTGAGTGAAATTTCTGGTATCTAATGAATCATAGAATTTTACAGTACAGAAGGAGACCATCAAACCCATTGTATCTGTTCGAGCTCCCAAAAATGTAGTTGCAAATCTTGCAGTTGAAAGCTATCTCCTATTTATGGATCCTCTGATGGAGCAGGAGCTAAGACGGCATTCAGAAGGATTTGGTGCATGCATTACACAGGAATGATTTGGTATTTGCAAAGCACCAAGGCTGTCTGAAGGTTTTGTCACTCATGTCGAATCTGAAGGGTTTCTGCCCTGTGTGAATCTTCTAGTTTATCAGGAGGCATATAGACATCTCAAAAGCTTTATTCCAAACCTCACTTTGAAGGGTCTCTCTCCTATGGATTGCCTGGTGGTGGAACAGGCTTCTTAAATCTGTCAAGCCTTTGTCTTACAACTCACACTATCTAGTTTCTTTCACTTATCTTGTATGAACATGTTAGAGTGTTTATAGATTTATTCATTGCACAATTGATACATCTCACAATTCAGACAATTTGCTCCTCTCCTGCGTAGAAATGTTGACGTGCATACAGGTTTGTTAAATGTGAGAAGGATTTGTCACATACCTAAAATACTATTCTCCCTATGTGAATCACGTGCTGTATCAGGAATCTCAAAGATGTCACAAAAGCTTTGTCAAAACCTCAGACTTGAAGACTTTCTGTCCAGTGCGGATCAACTGATAAACCTCAATGACCATTGAACACTTTGTTACATATCTCTCATTTGAAGGGATTTTCCCCTTCATGAATCCGCTGGTGTCTCAGGAAAGTACAAGAGTCGGTGAAAGTCTTCTCACAAACCTCACATCTGAATGGTCTCTCCCCTGTGTGCAAACGCTGGTGTCTCCTGAGTTTAGATGACTGTGAGAATGATTTGTCGCACATTTTGCATGTGTACGGTTTCTCCCCAGTGTGAATGCGTCGATGCACGCGGAGGGTCGATGAGTCTGAGAATGATTTGTCGCATTCTTTGCATGTGTATGGTTTCTCTCCTGTGTGAATGCGTTGGTGGGTGAGGAGGGTTGATGATCGTGAAAATGACTTATCACACAACGTGCATGTGAATGGTTTGTCCCCTGTGTGTATGCGTTGGTGATTGAGGAGACGCGATGAGCGTGAGAACGATTTGTTGCACACTTCACAAGTGAATGGTTTTTCCCCCGTGTGAATGCGTTGGTGGAGGCGGAGGTGCGATGAATGCGAGAATGATTTGTCACAGAACTCGCACGTGAACGGTTTCTCCCCAGTGTGAATGCGTTGGTGTGTACGGAGGTTAGAAGACTGTGTGAATGATTTGTCACAGAACTCACATGTGAATGGTTTCTCCCCAGTGTGAAAGCGTTGGTGCAAGCGGAGGTGTGAAGAACGCGAGAATGATTTGTCACACAACTCACACGTGAATGGCTTCTCCCCCGTGTGAATACGTTGGTGGAGGCTGAAGTTTGATAAGCGTGAGAATGATTTGTCACAAAACTTGCATGTGAACGGTTTCTCCCCGGTGTGAACACGTTGGTGTACACAAAGTTGAGATGAGTGTAAAAATGATTTGTCACACGCCTCACATTTGAAAGGTTTCTCTCCTGTGTGAATGCGTTGGTGAGTCAGGAGGATCGTAGACGTGGCAAAAGCTTTATCACAAACTTCACATTTGAAAGGTTTCTCCCCTGTATGAACATATCGATGCGTGCGGAGTTGTGAGGACTGTGAGAACGATTTGTCACACACCTCACAGCTGAAGGGTTTCTCTCCTGTGTGAAGACGTTGGTGAGTCAGGAGGGTTGTAGATGTTGTAAAAGCTTTATCACAAACTTCACACCTGAATGGTTTTTCCCCTGTATGAATGTATCGATGTGTGCGGAGGTGTGATGACTGTGAGAACGATTTGTTGCACACCTCACATATGAAGGGCTTCCCCAAGCTGTGGATACTTCGGTGTTGCATGAGCATCGATAGCCGCATGAAATCTTGGTCACACACCTCACACTTGAAAAATTTCTCTTCCATCAGTCTGTTCAGCAGATGTACCTTGGGTGTTAGGAGATCTTATGAGCTGCTGGAAACCTCATCACAAACCTCACACTTGAACAGCCTCTCACCTGGAAGAAGCACCCAGTAATTCTTGAGGATCAATGAATGACTGAAGCTCTCGCCACACTTGGAGCCACTCACACTTTTTTCCAGTCTCACCCTGACTGATCACCCACAGCCGAACCTTCAGAAAGGTTGGTTCTGATGGAAGGCTCCACACCACTGACCAGTTTCAGATCTGATAATTTCAAAGCTTCTCTGACCAACCGATTTCCAGATGATGGTTTCACTGCCCAACCTTCTCTGTTGTTGAGCAATGCTGTGAAGGGACTGGATGCCTTCCCACAGTTATGCAGTTATTCCTAGAGCGATGGTCAGGGTCCATTTGCGGTGTCTATGTTTATGTTACCTGGTGTGTTATGTTGCAATCCTTCTGTAAAATAGAAAAAAGAAACATGAAACCAAATTTTCCCAGATTCAGTTATAGAACATTTCCAGTGCTCCCTGTCATGATAATCTGCTGCCTTTCCCTTTGCACTAACATACAATACAAGCTAAAGAGGCTGGCAGTCTGTACCTGATCACTCAAGACCATATGCAGTAAGAAAGAATGTGACCACAGAGATGGTGGCAACCTGTATGTGACTGCTGAAGTCAATGACATTCGCAAAGCAAGAATTGTGAAGTGAGGAGAGGCATGGGGCATACAAATTAGTGCAAAGTGAGTGAATGCTAAGAAAACAAGCTAAGGGCCATCACAGAAAGCATGTGTCAATGCATAAAGCAGGCTGGCAGAAAAATACAAATCATAGGTGTCCCTGAGCTCCAAAGTAAAGGCTGAAGGTTGAAGAGCTGAAATGCATTGGTTCGTGAGCAGGTATGATGGTGTGGTGAGGCCAGTGGTTCGAACAAGCTGACTTGTGTGGACAAAGGATCAAGGAAGATGGTGGCCATGGAGCATACAGGGGCATTGCTGTGAAGAAACATTTGGGGATGCCAGGGTTAAGCATTCTGCAAGCTCCGCTCACTTTGGTTGATGCTGATGAATGGTTTCCACTTCAAGAAGCCTCTGCTGTGTATGGACCTCAAAGATCCTTGCATCAGCAAAAGAAATTACAGGGAACTTGCTGCCAGGTACCTACTCCAATTTACATGTTGGGAATTTGTATCATCTAGTTTCTCGGGAAAGGAGAGGTGAATTGGAAGCGAAAGATAAATAAGACAGTTTAGTCTGCCTCTAATTCTCAGACTATGCTCCCGAATTCTAGAATTTCCAATGAATGCAAATAATTTACTTATATCTACCCTGTCTTCTCAACGTAATATCTTGAAGACTTTGATCAGATCATCCCTTAACCTTATAAATTGTCGAGAAAACGGGCCTAACAAGTCTTTGTTTTCTTTTCTGAGATGTTTACTGTGATAGGGTGATGAAGATCTTGCAAAGATGTGAAAAGACAGGCAACACACATAGTGAACCGTCCGCAGTATAATAATCAGCTCCCAACACACACACACAACTCAACAACAGAAAATCAGTAAGAATGCTCAGACACTCTGCACCTCCCAGATGATTACACCTCACCTTCTCATATTCAGGAATATACCATCACTAAAACTCAGCCTGGAAATCAGAAGGAAAACGCTTCCAACAAACACACTCAATATCCAACACACAGCTCCAGTCTAACAGTTCAGCACAAAGCACTGAGTAAACAGCTCTCTCAGCTGGATCTTCTCACACAGCATAAGGGACATTTCCACCCCTGATTACCCACAGGATAGTCAGACTGCCTGAAGATTGGTGTGGATATTATGGGATACAATTTGTATAAAAGCTGCTCCTTCACTCACCATCTCCTCACTTGGTTTTCAGTCCCTATAGGAAGTGAACCAGCTCTGGAAGAGGAAGAGGAGAGAATGGGCAGAGTGGGTGGGCTATCTGATTGACGTCTCTCACAGTCAATCCAAATATTTCTGGAGCAGCATGAGTTTCCAGGAAACTGACCGGTGAAATGGAGGTGATTTTGAGCAGCAGATCAGGTTGGGATTTAAAGTTGTTAGCGATCCATCTGAATAAAAGCTCATTTAATTATGAGGGGCATAGATAAGGTGAGTCGTCAAAATCTTTTCCTCAGGCTATGGGAGCCCATAACTGGAAGGCATGAGAACTAAGGGATAGCATGAACTGCAGATGCTGGAGTCAGAGCTGACACAGCGTGGAGTTAGAAGAACGCAGCAAGCCAGGTAGCATCAGAGATACAAGAAAGTTGACCACTTTCCTGCTACTCTGATGCTGCCTGGCCTGCTGTGTTCTTCCAGCTCCATACTGTGTTAGTATGGGAACTAAGGGGCAGATTTTTCGCACAGAGGGTGGTGCATTAATGGAATGAACTGCCAGAGGAAGTGGTGGAGGCACGTGCAATTACAACATTTAAAAGACTTCTGAATGGGTATATGAATAAGAAGGAGTTAGAGGGATATGGGCCAAACACAGGCAAATGGGACTAAATCAGTTTGGGATATCTGCTCGGTGCAGACGGATTGGACTAAAGGGTCTCTTTCTGTGCTGTATGATTGTATGCTATTTCTGTTCCCCTAAAAGTTTGACAGAGATTTCTAGTGTGGGAATAGCATTCTTTATCCTCGGAGCTTTCAAACTGACAGCATCAGTGTAGGATGTGTATCCCTGGATGTGTTTGACAGCAGATCAGAAGAGGAAGAGCCACAGCATCCAAGGCAGTGATGATGTATAGTGGTGGGATCAGCACATACGCAGGAGAGTGAAGAACAGGAAGGAGGGCCTAAGGGAGTGAATTTGTGATCAAGGAATAACTTGTTCTTCAGGACATTGCAATTCAAAAATTAATATTTTGCCTGAGGGAGTGACATGGTGAGTGATATGGTGATTGATCCCTCAGTAAAGTGAAGTAAAGTGAAGTAAAGGAAAGGTCTTGCATCAGATCCCCCGACTTGGGAATAGCAGACAGGCACACAGTGTGGAACAGTCTCTCACTGAGGAGTCAGCCCCCTCAGCAAAGGAGGAGAGGGAGTTGAAGGAAATCATGTTTCCTTTTCCTGTTTTACAGAAGGATTGCACCGTACTACACTAGAGAATACAGAGAGGATAGATACCGCAGATAGATCCTGACCATCACCCAGGGAACAACAGCACAAATGTGGGAAGAATCCAGTCCCCTCACAGCATTGCTCAGCACAGAGAAAGTTAGCTAGTGAAACCATCATCTGGAAATTGATCAGGTCAGGGGAGCTTTGACATATCATGAGATCTGAAAGTGGTCAGTGGTCTGTAGCCTTCGATCAGAACCTAGGTATCTGAAGGTTCGGCTGTGGGTGATCAGTCAGGGTGAGGCTGGGAAGAAGTGTGAGTGGGCTCCAAATGTGGTGAGAGCTTCAGTTATTTATTGAGCTTCGTAACCTACAGACTTATTCCTACAGGTGTGAGGCTATTCATTTCTGAAGTTAATGATGAGGGCTCCACAGATTTACAGGAAGTCCTAATACACAATGTGTATCTGTTGTAAAAACTTAATTCAAGTGCAGCTAATGGAAGAGAAAGCATTAAAGTGTGAGGTACATGTCTGAGATTTCAGTCATCGATGCTTCAACCATTCCTCCATAGAGAAAAATCCTTCAAGTGTTTCGTAACAAGGGATTTTCAAAATCATCAGCCCTTTTGATTCACCAACTCATTCAGATAGGAGGGAAGCCATTCATGTGTGAGATGCGTCATAGTTCATCCTCATAACTATCCTCCCACTGTACACCAACACACTGAGACAGAAGTGAAACCATTTTCATGTGGTTCATGCAGCAAATCACTCTCAAATTTACCACAACTCATCTTGCACCAACACATTTTCAGTGGGGACAAACCATTCACATGCAATAAGTGTAAAAAATCCTTGTCACAGTCATCAACTCTTTCCAAACACCAACAGATTCACACTGGGGTGAAACCATTTGTGGGCAAAGTGTGCACCAAATCATTCATCGACATCCTTCATACATCAGTGCATTTACATAGGGGAGAAACTGTTCATGTGCAAGGTGTGTGACAAATTAATCTGAGACTCACTGACTTTCTGTGTACAACAAGACATTCACACTGGGGAAGAAACCATTCCAATGTGAGCTATGTGATAAATCATCTCACAGCCATCATACCTTTGTGGACACCAATGTGTGCGCACAGGAGAGAAACTATTCGCATGTGAGAGTGTGACAAATCATTTTTGGACTCATCAACACTTCACACACACTAACACAGTCACACAGTGAAGAAACCATTCAAGTGTAAAGTATAGGAAAAAAATCTTTCTCAAAGTCATCCAAACACCTGGCTCCACGTGAACCCACACAGGTGAGTAAGCCATCAGTTGCCAGTATTATGATGTTTTTGAAGTTCCTGGGCACCAGAGGATACACATTGGGAAAAATCCTTTCAAATGTGACGTTTGTGACCGGATTTCCACCCACTTATGGAATCATAAAATTGTACAGCATGGAAACAGGCCCTTCAGTCCAACTTGTCCATGCCGACTGGATATTCTAAACTAATCTAGTCTCATTTTGCAGCATTTGGCCCATATCCCTCTAAACCCTTCCTATTCATATACATCCAGATACCTTTCAAATGTTGCAATTGTACCAGCCTCCATCACTTCCTCTGGCACCTCATTCCATACATGCACAACTCTCTGCATGAAAAAGTTGCCCATTAGGTCCATTTTAAATCTTTAAATCTAGCCACTTAGTTGCACCCCTGCTGTGAGCTCCCCCACACAGGTTTCTCTAAGGTCAGCTGTGAATTTCACTGTTTGTTTATTTTTCTTAGAAGAACTCCAAGGTTCAGAGATACTTGAAACCAAACAGTGGAGGCAGTCAGCTGTGCAGATTCACTGCTGGGTCAGTCAGCTGTGCAGGTTTATTTCTCTATTTGATTCACTTCCTACGTGGTCACTGCCTTTGTCTCTCTCCTCTTTTTTAAAGTGCCGTTGTTTTGATCTCTTCTTTTCCCCAACATTCCAAAACAATTCTCCAATCTGATAGGATACCACGCAAGTGAGAAACCATTTGGTTGAAATAATAACTGGAACAAAAGCATCACTGTTGTCAGACCTCTTGGAACATCAATAAACCTACACAAAAGACAAATCTTCTGGGATAGAACTGGACGTTCTTCAATTAGTTTCAGCACCTCTGATCTATGGAGGAGATGAATCAGCCAGGAATCCTGTTCCTCATCAGCGATCCCAGTAGGGAAGTCAGGGGGAGGGCAGGATGTGTCTCAGCTATGACAGTCTCCATTGTCTCACTCCATTCACTGTCCAGCACTGCACATGCTGAACGTCCACTGAAACAGGGCACTAGAGGCCAGTCAATGTCCACAGTCTGTCCTCCAGGTCAGTACCTTATTAATTAGAGGGAATGTGAGGAGGGAAACAGGGCATCAATCTATAAACAACAACTTATATTTTTACAGCACCTTAAATATACTAAAAGCTCCCAAGGTATTTCATGCAGACACAATCAGGTAAAAATTAACATGAACATGGAGAAGGAGGTATTAAGAGAGTATCACTAAAGGTTTGGTCAAACCCGTGAGGTTGAAGGAGGCTGCAATTTTTTTTATATTCAGGCACGTGATGGGGCGTCGCTGGCTGAGGCAGCATATATTGCCCATCCCTGGTTGCACTTGGGAATGTGGTGGTAAGCTAGCTTTTTGAACTGGTACTGTTTTTGGGTGTAGGTACACCCAGAATGTAGTATGGGAATTCCAGGATTTTGAGCCAGTGACACTGAAGGAATGACAATATATATATCTGAATCTTGAGCTCAGTGGCTTGGAGGGGAACTTGCAGGTGGTGGTGTTCCCATGTATTTACTGCCCTTGTCTTTCCAGATGATGGTAGTTGTCGGTTTGGAAAGTGCAAAGGAACTTTGGTAAATTTCTGCAGTGCATCTTGTAGATGGTACACAGTGCTGCTACTTAATGTCGAGTGTGGAGGAAATGAATGTTTGTGGATGTGGTGCCAGTCACATGGGTTGCTTTATCCTGGATGTTGTCAAGATTCTTGAGTGTTTTTGGAGCTGCACCCATCCAGTCAAATGGGGAGTATTCCATTGCACTCCGGACTTGTAATTTGTAATGGTGGACAGGCTTTGGTGAGTCAGGAGGTGAGTTATTCGCTGCAGTATTCCTCGCCTCTGATGTACTCTTGTAGCCATTGTATCTAGACAGTGAATCCAGTTCAGTTTCTGGTCAGTAGGAACTCCCAGGCTATTAGTAGTGGGGATTTTGGTGATTATGATCCCATTGAATATCAAGGGCAATAGTTAGACTTTCTTTTGGAGCAGATATGTGACTAAATTTTAAAAAAGAGATAAAGATGCAGAGAGGTTTAAGAAGTGAATTCATGATCATGGAGCCTGAATGGCTTAAGTTACAGCAATCATTGGTGAAGAAAGTAGATGGATGTACTAAACACCAGAATTTGACAAGTACAGAGATGTTGGTGGGAGATGGGGCAAAGGCTGACAGATATGAAGAGATGAAGTCAGGGAGCAATTTGTACCTGACCGTGAATTTTATTTGGAGGCAGTGGGGCCTGG